AATGTCTACATGTTTAAATTAATACCATTTTATTCTGTATAATCCCTGAAATGCAAGAAAATAAAACAACTCTGACAGTGAATCGTAATAAAATATATAATTCTCATGCCATCTCTTAAATCTTATTCAGTTTATTACTGTATCGATCAGAAGCTTTTTGCCAGGGGTAACATTTCCAGCGATTAATTCCGTACTAATGAATAACATTGAATCTTCGGGAAGTTGTCGAATAAAGTGCAACGTGATGGCGCACTTTGCCACTTTATTACCCGGGAGGGTCTGGTGTGTATCGATTTATGGACGGTGATCCGGAATTCAGTCGCTGTCCCGTACGTTCCGGCAGGCATAGTGCACGTGCAGCCTCGATACATATACGCCGCACTTGCTCATAAGTGCACGAGGATCATCGCCGACTGCATAATTCTTCGCGTCTATGGAAATATTCAGCCCGACTTGGCACCTGCTGCAAATCGCGTCTCACTTCTTCGTGTTACGGTCGATGAATATTATTTGTACCTCCATTTGATCAGAAGTTAATTTTATATCTATTACAGTAGGACCTCCATTATAGGTATCAATTAAGGTAGCTCACTATTTGGGTAACGTATCAAGAAAGAGTCCTACAGTGGATTTATTTTAAAATAAGATTTTATTATGCATATTTCATACTAAATCATGAAATAGATTTTAGAGTATGCAAGTCGATATAGCATATTTACACACATTAACAGGAAATATACTATATTCATACAATAGAAAATTTATATACCAGGTGTTCATATAATGAATATTCTACTATATCAATTATCAAATTTCCTTAATCATGTTTAATTCTGGTGGCTGTGCATCGAATTTCGTAGGCTGCATTAGATAAATGAATGGTATATTTGACTCGATCTGGGAATGTATGGCTATGGAGATGATCTATGAATTGCAAACAGGATCTTAGCAGCTTAGAAATAACTAAATTCACCGCGAAGCAACCGTGACAAGGATAATACAGTTGACTACGAGGGTGCACGTACGTTTCAGCGTCGATCCGCGAATTACTTCTGGGGTAACTTCATCGCGCATTAATGTGGTGCATTACCTACGACGGCGACGGGGAGTTTTAAGGCGAAAATACGGCGCAACGATCGGCTTACATTAGTCGGTGGCTGCATATGCCGCATGAATTTCCACGGGAAATGGATGAACGCGAGAAAGACATCGTCTGTCGTTCGATCGACGAACGCGCAATTCTTTTCACTCGCAGACAACGTGCATATGAAAAATACGTAGAAAGTCGATTTTACATCAATTCATTTAACCCTTTCGCTATTATAGTTGCGACTATATATTTGAAAATAATAGGGCGACTATAGTTGCTCTGCATAAAATTCTATTTTTTTTTTTTTTTCTGGAGCTCGACAACTTACAGCTTATAATAT